ACCCGTTCTGAGACTAGGGCTTTCTTGATATTGCCAGAGGGTACAATGGCAAGTTTTCAGGCAACAATCAGGAAACCAGAACTCAGTAGTTCAAGTGATCCTTGAATGGTTTTTTGACTGAAACCTCAAGCACTCTCTCTAGTCATGCCATATGGAAAAACAACTAACTTCACACAGCTTGTGATACTATAATTACACCTGGCAAACAATAGTGGTTAAAATGCCAGCAGAGATTTCCAAGCCAACGCATAGCCCTTAATCTTGTATTGAATTGTATAATTTACAAAGACACACTTTCATAAAATGAAATGCTCATCTCCACTCACACATTATTTTAAGTTATCAACTACAATCTACATACTTTTGTGTTTCACTTTTGTCAGGTAAATAGTATTTTTTCAATAAACTTTAAAATTTCTTATACATTCATGATTTTTATGTATTCATTTTATAATTTACCTTCTAAGATAATCATGTAATCATGTAGTTTTTTTATTTTTCAGGCATTTTGAGAAAGAAGGCATAGCATATCTTTTTAAATCAATAATCTAGTGCCATTGTACTTCTCAAAAAAATATCTTTAAATATAAGGCCTAAGCTATAAAACTTCTGGACGAAAACATAGGGGAGAACTTTCATGACACTGGATTCAGCAAAGGCTTTTTGGATATAACAAGAAAAGCAAAGGCAACAAAAGCAAATATAGGTAATATGACTACATGAAACCTAAAAACTTCTGTATATCAAAGGACACAATCAACAGAGTGAAAAGTCAGCCAATGAAATGGGAGTAAATATTATATCCAGAATATATAAAGAACTCCTATTGAGAACAAAAATAACCCAATTTAAAAATGGGCAAAGGACTTGAATAGGCATTTCTCCAAAAATGATACACAAATGGCCAATGAGCATATGATGTTCAACATCACTACTCATTAGGAAAATACAAATCAAAACCACAATGAAATATCATACCCATTAGGATGGCTACTATTTAAAAAAAAAAAAAAAGGGAAGAGAAAACAAGTGTTGGCAAGGATATAGAGAAACTGGAAAACTTGTACACTATTGATGGGAATGTTATATAGTGCATCCACTATAGAAAACAGTATGGCCATTCCTCAAATACTTAAAAATAGAATTACCAGGGGCACCTGAGTGGCTCAGTCCATTAACTGCCTGGCTCTTGATTTTGGCTCAGGTCATAATCTCATAGTTTGTGCTATCAAGACCTATGTCAGGCTCTGTGCTGACAGTGTAGAGCCTGCTTGGAGTTCTCTCTGTCCCCCTCTATCTGCCCCTCCCCACTCACATGCACTCTCTCTCTCAAAATAAACATTTTTAAAAAATAAGGGCACCTGGGTGGCTCAGTCAGTTAAGCGTCCGACTTTGCCTCAGGTCATGATCTTGTGGACCATGAGTTCAAGCCCTGCATCAAGCTCTGTGCTGACAGCTCAGAGCCTGGATCCTGCTTCAGATTCTGTGTTTCCTTCTCTCTCTGCCCCTCCCCGCTCATGCTCGCTCTCTCAGTCTCTCAAAAATAAATAAACGTTAAAATTGTTTTAATTTTTAAAAAATAGATTTTTTATACCTTATAATTCAGCAATCACACTTGTGGGCATACATCCAAAAGCAATGAAAGCAGTATCTCACGCAGATATTAGTATGTCCACATTCATAGCAGTACTATTCACAATAGCCAAGAAGTGGAATCAACTCAAATATCCATTGATGGATGAATAGATAAACAAAATATGGTATATACATACAATGGAATCTTATTCAGCCTTAAAAAGAAAAGAAATCCTGTCACATGCTACAACATAGAGAATATTAAGTAAAATAAGCCAGTCACAAAATGACAAATAGAGTTGATCCAAGAACAATAGGGTTTGAACTGCACAGGTTCACTTACACGCAGATTTTTTTTCAATAAATACAGTACAGTGCTGTAAATGTATTTCTCTTCCTTACAATTTTCTTCACAACATTTTCTTTTCCCTAGCTTACTATATTATAAGAATACAGTATATAATACATATGACATACAATATATGCATTGATTGTTTATGTTATTGGTAAGGCTTCCAGTCAACAAGAGGCTATTAGTTAATTAAGTTTTTAGGGAGTCAAAAGTTATATGCAGATTTTTGACCATGGGAGCTGGTACCTCGATCCCCACTTTGCTCCAAGATCAACCATAATATATGACTCTACTTGTGTGAAGCATCTAAAGTAGTCAAACTCTTCCCAATCCTCAGTTTTTGATTTCTGGGGTTTCTTTCCAAGCAATGGCATCAGAGTAGACTTAGGAGAGACAACATAGGACCAAACAGTGACTCCAACCAAGTCAGCAAGGGAAGCAAACCTGGAAGGATCCAGAAGTTCTCCAAGCCTACAACTCATTCTTTGTATGTAATAAAGTCCTCTCCCAAGTTTCTCTGCAGTTTTCACTCCAAGGTGGAGCGAATTACAACCAGTGTAGTTCCACTTCTCATTACTTTTTACCTCATTTTCTTTGTTGTTTTCTCGTTGCAATATGATTAATTTAAGAGACCTAAAATGGGGCCTGAAGCTAGAGCATTCTGAAGTGAACATGACCTTTAACTCTACCAGGGTGGTTTCTCACTAGGTTCTTGACCACCTTCACTTTTATAATCAAAAGAGCAGAAGTTTTGCAACACTGCTGGTGTGTTCTTTCCCTGTTGTGTCTCTCTCCAACAAGTCCTATAACCTGTACATTTGTTCCTGAATTTATTAGCTAACTTTATTTCTATTTGCTAACCTTGATGACTTTCCCTCCTTTATGCAATAATTTTACATAATAGTTCCTTTAATGAGCAGTATTTCCAACTAACATAATAATAACCTAAGAAAAATGCTAGGCATAGAAAGAAAAATAAGGTATGTTCTTGGCCATTAAGGAATTCTCAGTCTAACAGTAGAGACAAACATATAGACAAGCAACTATAATAAAGTCTGAAAGGGAACTAGTAGAATGCACACACAGAGGAAGAAGAGATTAACCGGGATCAGGGAGCAGGAAAGGAGATGAAGGCCTGGCGGCATGAAATAGCATGTGAGGTTCTGGAGCTATAGGAGTACAGGCATGCCAAAGCAAGACCTACAAGAAAACAGATGACAAGAATGAAGGCTGAATAAGTAGAAAGAGGCCAGACCATGAAGTTTCTTCAGTACCATGCTAAGTAAGGCATTTCCACTTCCTACAATAAGCAACAAGATCCAGTGAAAAGGCCTCATTTTGAAAAACTTGTGTGGAATTAGTATATAATTCTAAAAATGGGTTTAGATTATGCTATCTTTCCTTAGCCTTAACAGTTGATTGTGTTTTATAGTTTTTCAGTTTCTTTCTTTGGAAATCAGGGTTGATAGTTAAAATACCTAAAAAGTAAAACCAAATGAATGACGGAGCTATTGCCACACAACCATGCAGCACAGGGCCTTTGGACAATGAAACCTAGCTGTTTCTTCAAAGTCCAGGATCATTCTCTTTGGTCTTTTTTCCTATACATAATGATGAAGAAAATACATTGTAAATAGATTAGTGAAAATCCAAGGGTATGAGAATTTGAGGAAATGGATTTGTCTTAATTTATATAACTTTTCTATTGAGGGTTTTGTTTTCTTTTGAGACATTGGCATGAATACTCAGTGTTGGTGGATTTCTGTTCTATCATGTGGGTATTAATGTAAGAGGAGGTGGGGATTTCCTCTGACCCTTCTTCCTTGTCTGTTTCTTAACCTCTTTCCTGTGTTCAGGCAATTAGCAGCAGTTATTTGAGAGACACCATGGACCAGACTGACAGAAGGCCAACGGCCAGCACGGCTCACTGGAATTAAGTTCATATGTTTTGTTACTCAAGAGATAATCAAATTGCAGGTCTATTTCTAGATATTAATTCTTGACTGCTTTCCAGAAAATGAGAAATATTGTTCCAGAAAATAAAGTTGTTTTTTAAATTAACTCTGCTTGAACATTAAGAACACTTTCCCAAATAACACACCCTTTTCCTTTTACTAAAAACTGTACACATTGTACTACTCTGTAGTTTCTACAGATTTGCCCTGCTTCAAAGGGCTAGTTCAATTACATATCAATATTGCATTTAAAGTTTCTCTACATTCAGAAATTTAATTTATTAAAAAGAACTTCTGGGGGTGCCTGGGTGGCTCAGTCATTTGGGCAGCCTACTTTGGCTCAGATCATGATCTCATGGTTTGTGGGTTCGAGCCATGTGTCAGGCTCTGTGCTGACAACTCAGAGGCTGGAACCTGCTTCAGATTCTCCCTCCCCCTCTGTCTGCCCTTCCACCCACTCGTGTACTGCCTCTCTCAAATAAATAAACATTTAAAAAAAAAAGGTAAAACTTTACCTATTTAAAAAAAAAAAGAACATCTGGATACCTTTACTTCTTCAGTTCCTATAAGTGCCATAAGAAATCATGTTTAGATTCCCAAAGAAACTTAAAACATGATGCTTTTGAAGTGTAACTGGAAATAAGAAAGCACTTGACAATTTTTGCTTAACAAGTATCATTATACCCACTTTTAATTTTTAGATTTGTATGAATTTTATTTTTAAGAAATGATGCATCTCATCTTGTTCAGAATTGTAAAGTCAATTGGCTCTCTAACTTAATATTGTTTCTCATATGTATGTCTTCAGTATCTATTAATGGAATACAGTCACTCAAATGAAATTCTAAAAAATAAAGCTGCCTTAATTGAGAAAATAAATAGAAGGCATTTCTACTTTAAGACGTATTGGTAATATTACGTATTTACCGGCTTATAAAGTTACTTTTTCTTCTTTCTGAAATTAATGCAGAAAACATACAATACATTTTAGTGTAACTTTGAGATTAAATCATATGGATATGCTTCCCAATCATTAGTTATTGTCATGCATAAATAGAAATAACATATAATTCAATTTTATAAATGTGCAAATTTCTCGTTGCATTTGATATTTCAAGCCTCACCGAACCCAGAAGTCATCAAGATAAATTCAATTCCGGATATAGTAACAAAAGTGGAAGACTACTATCTTAAAGGATATATTGTTGGGGCTATTCATCCTGTTATACAACCTGTGGGGCATCGAAAACACCTACCTGCAAGTTACCTGTACAGGGCAGTGCTATTGCGCTTGAAGTTAAGGTAAGCCTAGTGCTCAAAGAAACAGACTAAGATGCTGTTGAGACATTTTCTTTAGTTAAAAGAAAAGAAAGTTTGAACGTAATGATGGGGAATAAAGGATAATTAGGGGGGTTGGTTGAGAGCACATTTTCTAGTGGTTAAACCTGAATTGAGAGAAGGAAACTTACACCTCCCTCCTTTTTAAAACTCTTCATTGATTTTAGTCCCTTGCAGACAAATGAGTCCTAGGTGAGGATGTCAGTGAACAAAGGAAAAGGAAAACAGACTCCAGAAGCACCTAGAAGCTTCAGCAGATGAAGGAGTAGATGTCAGTGACAAGTTCTCTCACTGGGCTAAAAGAGATGACTGGACCAATGAAGTCCACTTTCACTGAGTGTTCTTTTTTAACTGTCCTATATTATTTTAATAATAGTGGCAACAGAAACTATCTCTACCTTTTAAGCCTTTTGCTGCAGAAAGGCCTACATGCCATTCCCAGTTCTCACAAATTGGATAGATTCCTTTTCAGCTTTATCCAAAAAAAAAAAAGGGGGGGGGGGGGGGGGGGGGGAAGGGGGGGGGGGGGGGGGAGGATGTAAAGACCATTCATTTTAGTTTCTTTTTTCACGTTTTTTAATAGCTGCTTTCCCAAATAATACTGCAAACAGTTCTGCCAGCCCAGCTTATAAGTTTGATAGTTTTCAAAATAGAGTTGCCCTTTCCAATGAGGAGTGAAAATAATCAAATCAATGTCTTTGATTAACACACTTAATTTTTTACACAACTATTTAATTATATCAAACCATCCAAAAGACCAGTGTAAAAACTGTTTTTCTCTTTTTAGTGATGGACTAATAATCCATGGTTTAATGAGGAAAGGGCTAAGCAAAGAAAGGTGCTTTTAAGGGACAGTGTCTGCTACTTATAAGTACAAGCCTACTTATACATGTCTGAGAGAGTTTGTACAGGCCTCAGCTTTCACCGTTATATGAAACTTCATCAGATACTCCAAGCATTATTAAATAAGCATGCCATTTTATCACACAGTAGCAATACTTCTAATTATAAAACTTATACATCATATATAAATTATTTTTTCTTTTTTAACATTATTTCAAATGGACTTAGCAGTGCTCTGACAAGGCTAAGAATAAGCAAGGGGTAAAGATCAGAAAAGAAAAAAGGCAGAAGACAGGACAATATTTATTTGCATTTAAATAGGAACTTTACTAGCGTTTTTGTACAATTATGAGGTATAACAGTGATCTAAAATCATGTCTTAAAATTTTTATTAAAACAACTGATGAATTTATTTCTTCCATATCAAATAAAAAACTATATTCATAGAGGTTTAAATTAAGAAAGTTCAACCTGGTTTTCTGGTATTTTTACCTAAGAAGACCACCATTATTAGGCTTGAAATAACAACAACAAAAAGATTCCCTTGACCATATTTGTGAGTTGCTTACTCAGTTTTACATCAACATATTAGCCGAAAATGATCAATTGACTTCCAACCATGAGTATATTCTCTGTTACAGCCTGAAGAAATCGGCAGTACCCAGTGGACAAAGACGGCCAAGGCTTGTGATTGAGGAATGTCCTCTAACTTATGAGACACAAACAAATGACATAGCAAAAGAACTGATAGAAAAGGTACTAAATGTATACATTTTTCATGTGATATTGAGAAATATTTAGTATTTCTTCATCGATTTCCTTTCTTATTTTAAAAAGAACAGGGAAATGGTAAGTGACTTATTCCACCAGAAGTTAAAACATATTGAAGCACACATACTAAATTATACAGTTAGAAACAGAAATATAGGCCAATGGAATAGAATGAAAATGCCAGCAATAAATTTACATATGTATAAGAAGTTTGGTAACAAACCTGATAAAATAAAGTGGGGGAACAACCATCATTTAACAAGTGCTGCTGGGAAAATGGATAATTTGTTCTGTATAAAATAGACTCCACACATTTCAAACGAGATAAAGAGGTAATTTTTTTTACCTATAAAAAATCCAGAGGAAAACTAAAGAGTAGACATACAGAATTATGAATAAGTTGGGGAGTTTGAGTATATAACTTATATGTTAGGAAAATTAAACTTAAAAGAAAAGAATCAGAGTGTGTGTAGGGAGTGGATTCCCTGACAAATGTGTCCTAGGGGGGTTCATTTAAAAAATATATAAAATGAATACAAATGCCTGACAGTAATGTCCAGTCTTGAATGGACAGAATCCACAGACAGCAAAATACAAAAGGAATCATAAACCACAGACCTTTGGGAAAAGGTTCAACCTAACTAATAATTTTTAAAGTAAAACTGAGATTTAAGACCTCACCAATATTAAGTGAGAAATTAAAATTGAAGGTATTAAACCCAGTGTTGGAAGAGCTTTAAGAAAACATTCATATATCACAACTGGCATCATAATAAATTAGTACATTGTAGTAAATTAGTTGTTTCTGAATATTAATCTGGTCAAAAAAATCATAAATCTCATTTTATTTTTTAGAATCTATTCCAAGAAATTAATTGAAAAGAGAAGAAGCCATTTTTATAGGTAGTTGAATCAACAATGAATAAGGGGCCAGATTCTCAATGATTGGAAAATTGAGGAGGTAGCAATCCTACATCCATACAATGTAATATTTTGTGGGGATTAAATGTAACATCTATATTGACTGTTGAGATAGAAAAGTCTACACAGGGTGCCTGGGTGGCTCAGTCGTTTAGGCATCTGACTTTGGCTCAGGTCATGATCTCACAGTTAGTAGGTTTAAGCCCTGCATCAGGCTCTGTGTTGATAGCTCAGAGCCTGGATCCTGCTTCAGATTCTGTGTCTTCCTCTCTCTCTGCCCCTCCCCTGCTCATGCTCTGTCTCTCTCTATCTCAAAAATGAATAAACATTAAAAATATTTTTTAAAAAAAGAAAAGTCTATACAATATAACTTAATAGAAACTTAAATTAAAAAGTTGAACTCTTTATGCATATTAAGACCAAGAAAAATTGTACATTTATAAGTGTTCTAAATTGATGGGTTTTTAAGTGATGGGTTTTTCTTAGTTGCATTGATATTTTTGTAAGGTTTTAGGTTTTATTTAAATGAATACAGCCAAAACTCTAAGGCATTTCCCTTTAAGTAAGAAACTGAGATTTGTTCACTGTTTCTAGTGTTGTTCCCAAGGTTTCAGTGGTGGTGTATGTCAGATTATCTGCAGTTTGTATATAGCCAGTTAGAGCTGCTAATGATATTTCCCTTTTAGATATAAAGTCACCATTCAGTAAGATTTTCAGGAATAGTCTATGAGACTAGATTCTTATAAACAAGCTACACATACTGTTTACTATGACTATTCTGGGAGATTTCAATTTGTTTTTCTGGGAATAAATCCACTCCAGAAAATTTCTTTTGAAATAAAAATGTAACTAATTTAGTCTTAATAGATCAGCATCAGAGCCCTTGTTTTGCATTTGACTTCCTGGACACAGTTAAAGATCTATTTAAACAGGAAAGTACTGTTATTTCAGCAATCAGAGTAATGGAATTATTTCATGAAGAGAAAAGCTTCAGGAAACATCGCACACGAACTATTTGAACATTGCCCCATGTATGAACAAGAGCAATAGATGAATGCCAAGTGTTATTTTGGAACAGCTGTCTTACATAAAGAGTTTATTGTTGAATAGCTAGGTTTTAAGTCATTTTAACTTTATATCAATATTTGCTTTATTTTTAAAATTAGGTTTTCTCAGGATGTCTAAGTAAAAATAACATTTTAAAAATATCAATCTTCCAACTTAAAAAAATGGAAAAAACCATTAACACTCTATTTGTTACCAAATTTTTCCAGCTAAAACTTTCTAGTAATAGAAAAAGCTTTCTGCACTTTTTCACCCAAATCAACTAAAAAGACCTAGAGAAAGAACTGACAATAAATTTACTCATTTCCACCTGCAGAAATGCCAAGCCCCCTTGCCACTCCCTCTTCTCTCCCAGGACACCTGATATAAAGGACAATCTGTGGCTATTTTTAAGGCTTCATGCATTGTTACAATCTCAACATGTCCATTTATAGGAGTAAATGATACTGCATTAGCATCATCCTCTGTCCTAGCTCCACACAAGCACACCTCTGGATTTTCCTCATTGGCTGGATCTGAGTGACCATTGTCCCCTTTGAGTGGGCATTGCTCTCTGGTTTTGCCCCAGTTCTTCCTGGCCCTTTTCATTTGTTTCATTTCTGACTATAGATGCTTACATTTGCAACCTCCATCATAAGTCTTTTTTCCCCTCCCAGGGTAGCATTCAAAATATTTAATTTAGGGGCACCTGGGTGGCTCAGTCAGTTAAGCATCTGACTCTGGGTTTTGGCTCAGGTCATGATGTCACAGTTTGTGAGTCTGAGCCCCACATAGGGCTCCATGCTGACAGTGTGGAGCCTACTTGGGATTCTATCTCTCCTTCTCTCTCTGCCCATTCTCTCTCTGCCTGTTCTCTCTCTCTCTCTCTCTTTCTCTCTCTCTCTCTCTCTCAAAAGTAAATAAATAAACTTAAAAAAAAAAACACGGAATGTAAATGTTTAAAACAGCCAAATAAAAGATGTTGCTATTACTTCATTTTTACTTATTTAACCAGTACTTATAGAGCACCACAGGTACAAAACAATGCAATACAAAAATGATTAAGACACAGTCCTTGCCCTCAAAAGAATTGCTAGCTTAACAGAGGAGAAAGACATGGACACAAAAGGAACAAAGAAATGAAGCAAGAACAGAGAAAGGGAAAAGTGCTGAGCATGAAAATAACCAGTCTTAACATCTCAAATTATTTCACTGGCATTTTGTCATGTGCTTCTGAATCCTATTCTTTAACTTATACGATTGAATCTGATCATGTGCATTTGGCCCAATAGGAGACAATAGCATCAAGATATAAGCAGATGGAAAAGCTTCCTAAGAGTGAATTGGGCCTATGCATTATATGCACACATTTGTCAAGAATTAGACATCTAACATTTTCCTTTACCCACATCAAGCAACAATTCTGTATGTTTTTGCTTTTAATGTTTTGTTGTTGTTGTTGTTAATTAAGATGTATTTGGGGGCACCTGAGTGGCTCAGTTGGTTGAGTGCTGGACTTTAGCTCAGGTCATGATCTTGCTGTTGGTGAGTTCGAGCCCTGTGTTGGGCTCTGTGCTGACAGCTCAGAGCCTGGAGCCTGCTTCTGATTCTGTGTCTCCCTCTCTCTCAACCCCTCCCCCACTCGTGCTTTGTCTCTCTCCCAAACATAAATAAAACATTAAAAAAAAGAAAAGAAGAAGAAGAAAAAGATGTATTTGGTAATGTTATTTTTGAGGATTTCTTGGAATAGCTTTTAATTTTGCCTCAGTGGGAGAGACCATTGCTAACAGGCTTCCAAAAATCATGTTACAGAATTATTAGTTTTTCTCAAATAACAACCTTTTGAAGAAAAATATGATTTCTGTTTTCATAATTTTTTTATTTTTATTTTTTTATTTTATTTGAGAGAAAGAAAAAGAGTACATGAGAGCAGGGAAGAGGGGCAGAGGGAGAGAGAAAGAGAGAGAGAGAGAGAGAGAGAGAGAGAGAGAATCTCAAGCAGACTCCATGCTCAGTGCAAAGCCAACACAAGGCTCTATCTTACAACCCTGGGATCATGACCTGAGCTGAAATCAGGAGTCCAACGCTCAACCAACAGAGCCTCCTGGGTATCCACTTCTTTTCATAATTTCTAAAGTGTATCAGTTCTGTTTGAAGAAGTCACAATAATAATGTGACATAGACTTAGGAGTAGTGCTTTGTTATAGGTTATTAATTCGTTAATGAATGGGTCTTTAGTTAGTGGTCAGTTTACTTCTTCTTATGGATTTCTTTAATAAGCCAATAGGCTAATTGATAAAGTGATCAATGTAAATGAATTTTACATTTTGTTCTACAATCTCTTTTAGATTAATATAGCTGCGAAGAGAGGAATGAAATTTGTTGGATTCATATCACAGCCTTATCCACCACTTAAACTCTGCAACGGAACCAACTATGATGAAGATCTAGAGTCAACGCTGCCTGTGAGACACCCTTCAGATGAAAACTGTAAAAGCTGGAATGAAGGAACACTAAGTGGGCAATCATCTGAGAGTGGAATTGAGGAAGAACTTCATCATGAAAGTGGACAGTGTCAAATGGACCGAGATGGCAGCCCCAGTTACTCTAAACCAAGAAAGGGAGAAGGTAATAGACAAGATGAGTAGAAATAGTATATTAGTTTCAATTTAGTAAAAGTAAGTTTTTGAGGTTTTTTCAAAATGTGAGACAAAGTAAATTTCTAAAGATTATAAATACTGAATAAACTAATATATTTTCATCTTGATTTTTTTTTTAATTATTACAGCCAGAAATAAGATAGGGCAGTTTTTCAAACTGTTGTCCCTGGAATGGTCATACAATGCCATCCACATAATGAAACTTGGTTTTAAAAATTGGTTTCCATTTAGTCTTTCTCCAACTCCCCTATAAAATGGAGGCTATGTGTGTATTCAGAAAGTGATTCTATAAATATAGAAAGCTGTTCTGATTTATGTTTGTTTTTGCAAACAGTGCATGAGAATTTTAGTTTTGGCCTTTCCCATTTCATGGATGGTTTTTGTCTTTGAAGTTAATTGGCTTTCTTTGATCATCAATTAGAATATGAAAATGCACACCATGATGAAACAATTAATAGGACAATAGTGCCTGCATCCTAAAATAACTTTAAAGATTAGTTTTATGCTACTTTGCCAACTAGAAACTCTTCCCAAGAAATTGAGACGACTTTCTCATGCATTTTGGCCTGCTCAGAGTTTTCTGATACCTTTGCAGTCATGCTTTAAAAATAGTGTAAAAAATAGTGCTACTATTAGAGAAAGTCAAAGACTATGCATACCTTACAGTTAAGAGCTCTGGAGTCAGACTGCCTCAATTTCTTTATAGAAAGGGAGTTGTCATAAGAAGTAGCTAAAAGATAAGGCACTTGGTCCAGTGCCTGCCACGGAATAAATTCTGGATTAAGTTAGCTGCTATCAACTGACTTTCTGATCTATGTTAGCGTTAAAGCTGTACCCACTGGTGTAACACACTGCACACGCACACATTGGCTTTCTGGGTTGTAATGAAATGTGCTCAGTCTCGTGAGCCTGGCAGAGATCTATCGACCATGGCCAGCACAATCTTTTTATGAACAAGCCAGGAGAACTTTCTAATTCATCATCTCATCCTTCCTCACCACCAGTACCACCCTCCCATTTTCTCACCAGCTCCCATTTTCTCACTAGCTAACATCCACCCTGATTTTCCTGGCAGTGTAAAAATTTTAGGAACAAGAGTTGTTGGAGATATGGTCAGAGACCTATTTGCCATCTTCTATGCAATGCTACCTTTAAACTCCCTCTGGTTCCCATCCTGACTTTGATTAGATGGAGTGTCTATTTCTAACCCTTTTGAATTCTAAATCCAATATGCTACCTACTTAATTTAATTAACAATCTTTAGACTCCACTTTCTAAATAGTTTAAATCCTATGTCTATGGCAATAGTTCTTAATTTTGGGTTGGGGGGTGGGGTAGTGGCAGCATGAGGTTGGGGGAGATGCACACAAAAGACCTCTTGGAAAATCTGGTGAAATCCGTGGAGACTCAGTCCAGAAAAAAGCACATAACATAGAGGTGGGTCCACAGACCACTCCCCAAGTTACGAATTTGCCAACTTATTGAAAGTAGAAGATATGACCTAGCAGTTCCATGTCTAAATATATATGCTAGAAGTTACTCCCACATGTGTGTCTAAGGAGACATGAACAATATTTATAATGACAAAAAATTTGGAAACAATGTATATGTCCATCAACAGGAAAATAATAAACTAGAATATTATGTAGCAGTTTCACTAAATGAATAAGGTCTCTATGTATTAATTCCACTCCAACTGTAAGAAAATCAATGTGTAGATGCATATATACAATACCACTTTTTAAAAGTTTTTTAAACCAGAGAATATGATATATATATTAATGGGTATATAAAAGCATATTAAAAGACTAAAAGTTTGCATGAGAATAATAAACACCAAATCATTATAGTGCCGATTTCTAGAGAACTGGATAGCAAAGACTACATAGTAAACTTCGACTACATCCATTTCTCATTTTCTGGGGAAAAAAACCTGAAGGAAACATGGCACAAGGTCAACATTTAATAAAGCTGAGTGGTGGATAATTTTATTATTCTCCATGCTGTATGTAGGACTGAAATATTTGAGTAATAAAAAAAACAATTTTAGGAACCTTTTCAATAAATAAAGGAATTAATAAATAATTTTTCTTCTTTCTGAATGTCTATCCCCAGAATACAAGTTGTATACAATATTCAATGTTTTTGATGATGAATCAACCTGCTGGACCTATCAGGAAGGCATCTTGTCAATGAAAGTAACAAGAAAAGGATCTGTCATTAGTACACTTGATGCTGATTGGCTGGAGTTAACTACGTTTTATTATAAACAAGGCTTGTCTTTAATTGATTCTTTTGTATGCTGGGAAACATCTAAAGGTACGTTTTCTATTATAATATATTGATATCTAAAAAATTTGACCTGTGTCAGAGTTGTTGGAAATGGTTTTGCCTCTCAAGATCTATGGCTAAACGGACAGAAATTATTCATTATTACTCATTATAATATTCATTAGGAATTAGATTCCAATTATTACACAGCTATACAGCTTTAATTTAAAAGCTTAATCATAGTGGTAGAATTAATAATGTAATGTTTGCTATTTGGTTGTTACTGTCAGGAATAGACAAACCACTGTGTGATTGACTAGTAGGATTTTCCAAATAAGATGTATTATAATCGTCCAGTTAGAAGGGTTATAATGGCATTTGACAGTTAACTATCCAAACTTATTACACTGTCCCAGATTTGGACACTATCTAACCTGTACTCCAATCTATTTCTGACTCTAAAATTTGTATATAAAAATAATCTTCAGTTCAGAAAATTATATTTACTCTATTTCTTCCTTCCCTTATCTTTCAACTTCCCCTAGCCTCCCTCTTTTAGTTACACTGGGATATGTAATCACTTGTGTCTACCACAAAAACCAAACAAACTTTCCAAAAATTACTTTCTAGGGAAAGTGTTTTCAAAAAGAAATTAGTGCTGGGGCACCTGAGTGGCTCAGTAGATTAAGCTTCCAACTTTTGATTTCAAACCAGGTCATGATCTCACAGATGTGAGTTCGAGCTCTGCATCAGGCTCTGTCCTGGGCATGGAGACTGCTTAAAAGTCTTTCTCTCTCTCTCTCCCTCAGTCCCTTCCCCACCCACGTACACATGCACACGTGCATGCTGTCTAAATAAATAAATAAGAGCTTAGTGCTAAAAGAAAAGAAAAATTCAGTTAGAAGACTTGAAAATTACATTAGGAAGGATGAAGGCTATGAAAACCAAGATAATTAACTTAACAAGGTTAGAGGAAAGAACAAAAAAGAAGCAAATGAGATCTCAATATTCTTTAACATCTTTAAATCAGCTTATTACATCAGGGATACCTTAACTAATAGAACTAAAGACTTTGGATGATTATTTAAAATTATCCAGAGTCGGGGCGCCTGGATGGCTTAGTCGGTTAAGCGTCCGACTTTCCGACTTTCGCTTAGGTCATGATCTCGCGGTTTGTGGGTTCGAGCCCCGCGTCGGGCTCTGTGCTGACTGCCAGCTCGGAGCCTGGAGCCTGTTTCAGTCTGTGACTCCCTCTCTCTCTGACCCTCCCCTGCTCACGCTGTCTCTCTCCTAGAAATAAAAAAAAAAAAAACATTTAAAATTATCCAGAGTCATAGGCCAATAAGTTCTTTTAACTAGCAACCAAGAGTAAAGATCTAGCCTATTGAACTACCCAGAAATATGGCCTGGGTATACAGGCCATAGCAGGTGCTCAACAGATAGTTCTTAGTATTTTTGGTTATTGGAAACTTCCTCGAAGTTGGTCTTTAATGGAAACAGAAAAATATTTTTTTAAGTTTATTTATTTTCAGAGAGAGAGGGAAAGAGTGCACACATATGCACAAATAGGGGAGGGGGAGAAAGAGAAGGAGAGAGAGAGAGAGAGAGAGAGAGAATCCCAAGCAGGCTCCACATTCAGCACAGAGCTCAACTCCAGGCTTGATGCTACGAACTGTGAAATCATGACCCGGGTGAAACCAAGAGACAGATGCTCAGCCAGATGAGCCACCCAGTCAGCCCATAAGATTTTTATTTAAAAGTAATCTCTACACCCAGCATGGGGCTCAAACTTACGCCTGAAGATCAAGAGTCACATGTTCTTAGTGACTGAGCCACCCATGTGCCCCAGAAGCAGCAAAATCTAATAAGAAGAGCATGGACTTTAGAATCAGATAGACCGGGTTTAAATCCTATATCCTCTACTTATTAGCTGAGTGATCTGGGAAAGTTAGGTGAGCTCACTGAGCCTCAGTTTCCTAAAAGGGGAATAAAAATACCCCCTACTTTACTGCTGTCAAAATGTAATAAGATACAGTATGTACAAAATGACTCCCACAGTGCCTCACCCACCGCCTTACCCACCGCCAGAGCTTATTCTCTGGTGGTAGTTTTCTTTCCTGCAGCTTGCTGTATGCAACTAGAGTACTTTTAGTATGGATCAGCTACTTGCAGTTCAGCTAATGCTTCATATATTTCTCTCTCTCTTCTCTTCCCCCTTCTCTTCCTTCCAAAAAGTCTAAGTTGGAACCATTTCAAACTTTGGTTTGTGACTAACTGCTGAAGGAAAGACGAGAAATACTCCTTTCAAAATCTCTTTCAGGCATCCCCGCCTTGGGCCTTGCCTGATGAAAATAAAATTAGCCACAGCAGTTGCCAGCCAGAGATTCTGTGGAGCTTTTGTTCATAAAGCCTCAGAAGCTATTTAGAGAGCTCAGGGGAGAATCTCTCCCTCTCAGCAGCTCTGGAATGTCTCATTAGACATTTTACATTGCAGGCCATGCCAAGCCCCTAATGAGCTACCACAGTCTGTGGGGCCTGGCAACTGGGTGTGTCACTCGGGACTTCCCTAGGAATCCACAGGGAAGCTGAGGAGGGGAAATTGTGACCCATGCCTGTGTCACTGTGAGAAGCAAGTCAGAGGAAGCAGGGCTGAATCGGTCGCTTTGTTCTGGGACATTTGATGCCTGACAGCTAAAGCACATGGGGGACAATGCATATTTTGTTTTGTCTTCCTTCCATCCTCTTCCAAAATATTGTCAGAAGTCAGCTCACCATGAGGAATAGAAGCACAAAACCAGACATTGCACAGACATTTAAATACATTCTTCCACAAATCTCATCTTATAAAATGTCTTCCTCTAGAAACAGGGAGTGGGGAACAAAACTTTTAAAAAGTTTTCTCCTTTGGTGGGTCACGGTGGAGAGGTTATAAGGACTGTGAAATTCCTCTTCAGTGTCCTTTCCCACGCACTCTCAAAGCCTGATGCTGCGAAAAGCCCCACAGCAGAGGTACCCGGTGGCCGTCTTGCTGTTCTGGCAGCCTGAGTCTTCCCACTGCAAAGGTCTCCTGTATCTGACCTTCTCCAGCATTGCTGGGTCCTCACCAAGCCGGACCTCTGCTGGAATCCCTGCACACACCCAGGGGCTTGCACTGCAGGACAAAGAACTCCAAATGGTCCTAGCTGAGCCAACAAAGATAAAACAATTTACCAGGATATGCAGAGATCCACTGGGTAGTTGGCATAGGTCGGATGAGCAGCCTTGCCAGCTAATATAAAACACATACATACACACCCATGAGGTCCCCAAACTTCAATAGCCTACAAATACCACCATTATCCTCAGAGAACAGTCTCTTCCCACCTTTAGTAGACCCATATCTTAAGGCTACATTTTTATTTTTTCATGAATTTTTAGACTTAAGTTCATTTCGCTCTCCTCACCCCTATAAAAATGCTTGTGTGGAGCTGATAGACGAGATGTATCAGAATGAGGAGTGGGATAGAGTACTGACAAAATGTATTTCTTTACTCACCACAAATATGTATATGCCAGGCACTGGGTTTACAATGATGAACAAAATGGACATCTTCCCTACCTCAAAGCTGGCCATGTGGCATCAGGCAGTCAGGCAGTTAACAGGTACAGAAACATATGTATCTAATTTCAAAATGGAGAAAAGTGTTGTGACATTACCTAACACTATATTGTAAGGAGGGATCAGGAGGTCCCGCATAACAAGACACCAATCACATTGAGACTGGAAAGCCAGCATTCAAGAGCCACAGCCAGGCCGTTCTAGACAGAGGAAACACCCCCAGATGTACAGAAACTGTAGGACAGGAAAGAGGAACAGGGAAAAGGTCTGTGTCGCTGGCACAGGGTATGCAGAGAGAATGGCTCCATACAAGGCAGAAGCGGTAACAGCAGCCAATCTTACAAATAATGCAGCAAGACCTACATGTATTTGTACTCACTGTACACCAGCATTGTTCTAAACACTTCTAATTTATTAACTCATTTAATTCCGACAGCAACCTATGAGGTTGGTATGATTATCCTCCTTTTGTAGATGAGGAAGCTGAGGCACAGAAATTATTTTAAAATGTGCCCCTTTTCGTGCAATTAAGAAAGTGGGTCAGAGGGCACCTAGGTGGAGTGTGTACTCTTAAGAAAAATTTTAAGCATCCTGCCAGAATTTTTATTCCAAGTCATTTCACTGAAGATTTAAAGAGGGAGTTATGGGGGAGCCTGGGTGGCTCAGTCAGTTAAGAGTCCGACTTTGACTCAGGTCATGTTCTCATGACTTCTGGGTTCAAGCCCTGCATCAGTCTGTCTGACAGCTCAGAGCCTAGAGCCTGCTTCAGATTCTGTGTCTCCATCTCCCTCTGCCCATCCCCCACTCATGCTCACTTGCTCTCTCTCTCTCTCAAAAATAAACGGAAGGGGCGCCTGGGTGGCTTAGTCGGTTAAGCGTCCGACTTTGCTTAGGTCATGATCTCGCGGTTCCTGGGTTCAAGCCCCGCGTCGGGCTTTGTGCTGACTGCCAGCTCAAAGCCTGGAGCCAATTTCAGAGTCTGTATCTCCCTCTCTCTCTGACCCCTGCTCATGCTGTCTCTCTCTCTCTCTCTCTCCTAGAAATAAATAAATATTTAAAAAATAAACATTAAAAATTTTATTTATAAATAAATAAATCAATCAATAAAAATAGGGAGCTATGAACTGATATGCATTCTTAAAATCACTTCTTTGGCCTCATTTTGGGAAGTGGATTAGAGAAGGCAAGAGTGGAAGGGGGCATGCTGTTAAGAGGCTGAGATTTATTTTGGAGACAGAATGTTCATGAATGAGATGCAAAATGGGCCTCTCCATATGTGCCCTCCAGTTCTCAGAGATAGTCCCAGGCCTACCTCTAGGCAGTGTAATGCCAAAAACGACGCATAGACCAAAAATATTAAAATAGAATGTTACATTTCTTCACATTTACAGAAATGCCAATGTCATATATAGCTGAAATGAGTGTCTGAGCACATGGCCAGACACATAAACCATTCCCTGAGAATTTGTTAAGCCTGTGCTTGTTAAACCAGGGTCCAGGTACCCTGGGGGTATGCAGCCTTGTGCTAGGGAGTACACAGATTCACAAGATAGAACATCAATTTTTTTTTACATTTATTTATTTTTGAGAGACAGAGTGCGAGTGAGGGAGGGGCAGAGGGAGAGGGAAACACAATCTGAAGCAGGTTCCAGGCTCAGAGCTGATGTGGGGCTTAAAACCACAAATCATGAGATCATGACCTGAGCCAAAGTCGGTCACCTAACTGACTGAGCCACCCAGGCGCCCTGATCGAACGTCAATATTACTTAATATGGGGAGTTGGAGAACTTTACTTTTTTTACATAATATGAACATATTTGAAAAGAATGCAAAGATGGCATGGATTTTAAGATATAAACATTAGACTTTAAAGAAATCTTATTCTTGCCACAAATCAACTCAAACTGTAATTGGAGATTATCCTTCAATGGTACTTTCCTTTGATACCAGTGGTATTTGGCTAAAAAAAACTTAAGCAGCAGTGGGTTAGGTCAATGCTTTGTAACTTTTTCATACTATGCACACATAGAAAATGATAATATAGTAAGGCACATGAGTATAAGAGGATAAAGCTTCTTGGGAAACCTGGGTGGCTCAGTCAGTTAAGTGTCCAACTTCAGCTCAGGTCATGACCTCAAAGGTCATGGGTTCTAGCCCTGTGTTCTAGCTCAGAGCCTAGAGCCTGCTTCGGATTCTGTATCTCCCTCTCTCTGTGCCCCTCCTCCACTTGTACTCTATCTTTCTCAAAAATAAATTAAAATGTTAAAAAAAAAATTAAAAACAAAAAAGAAGTGACTCCGTTTGGGAACAGTTATTAGGTAACTGTTTACAATCAACTCACCCCATTACCTGGAAGATTTAACACAGCAAGCACCCAAACAGCCACTCCCCATAGGACCTTCCCCGCAACCCCGCCTCACCTCCTCTTCTGTTAGGGAGAATTGTTCAAGAGATATTAAATACTTTCTCCTGTGTAAGTCTCATTCATCTGTGGCTCTGGGGATTGGTGTGGGCGCTAAGAAGGTCAGTCAGGGCCCTGGGAGCTCTAAAGTGAGAAGGGAGGGACATAAGTATAATAAACATATTGAAAAGTGCATTAATCTTATGTTTACAGCTGAATAAAAACAAATGTTCAAGATATAGAGGGCATATCTTTATATGTCAGTTATATCTCAATAAAGCTGGGGAGGGAGGAATTCAGAGGGGGGAAAAATGGTACAGAATATTTCCAACATTCCAGAAGCCACCTCATGACACTTCCCAGTCAATATCCTCACACCCAGAGAAAGTATTATTCTAATATTCATACCATAGATTAATTTTGCCTGTTTTTGAACTTCACATAGGTTGAAGTACACAGTATTTACTCTTTTGTGTCTGGTTTCTTTTGCTCAACATAGTTTCTGAAATTCCTCCATGTTGCTACAGAGCAATGAGTCTTGCTTTTTTTATTCTTGTGTGGCATTGTGTGAGTGTGGCATGGTTTCATTCCTTTAAACCAAAAGAAATTTAGAAGTACTGGAGTATCCCAACACTGAGAATAAGAAAACAGACACAGAGCTGCAAAACCACATTATAGAATCCCAAAGTAAATAAGAGGCAGATTATAATTAATTACATAACTATCACAGTATATAATTATTTCTAAAATTCATACCCTCATTCTAAAAAAGGACTTGGGACATACATAGTTTTAAAGATGGTCTTGTGATGCTCTAAATTTACAATCAAAAAGATTTACTTCCACTGGTCACTTTGGACAGTGGACAAGTACATTTAAAGGAAGTGGAACATACACTATAATTAGAAAAAAACTAACTCCAACTAGTAAATTAAACTTTACTGGGTTTTGGAGAACCAGTCTGAACAAGGTAAATTCTTCATGGTATTGTACCCTAACTGTAAATGGTGTAAATAATAATAACAATGATTTTCTCCTAAAGTTTATAGTCTGTTAATAAAAATCAAAACTAAAAATTACATTGAAATTATGTTTCTCCTCTTTATTTTTAAGCTTAATAGAGCACTTGAAAATGTTGTAGTTTATACTTTAGATAACTGTGCAGCAGGGAGACTTTGATGCAACACTGTCCTGTATAAAAACCATAAAGTTTAGCCAGCACGTGACCATGGGAAAATTGTCTCCTATTGCAAAATAGGAGACAAAAGAACATCCATAAAATCAGTTTAGTTTTCGCCAGCTGGTTGTTGTCAACTATTCAAGAAAATGTCAGAGAGGCCCTCCCTTAAAACTTCCTTCCCAGCAGGAATTCTTTTGACAATGACTTCTGTTTAGGATTTTCCTGTTACCATTCTTCTATTATTTTTTTTAAAGCATCATTGAGGTAAAGAATTGTTTTGTGTTTATATTATTTTGAGGTAATCTTACCTCATATTAGTTTGAATATCACACCTGTAATTTCAAGAACATTTTTATGTTTTCTCTCCAAATGGTGTAATTAATGTGCATAAACATATAGGTCAGAAACCAAAATTTGATTTCAGGGTGGTCAGTTCCTGATGCTTTTTAGACTTAGGAAATCCACTTGCTTCTCACTGTATGATATTATTTTATTTTGTTTTTGTTATTGTAGTTTTCATATTTACAGTTTAATTTTAATTCAGTGAAGTATAAAATTTTCTTGACCTTCCCAAAAAAACTCTCAAAGAGGAGGATGTTATTGACTCAGTCAAAACAAGTGCTTGTTAATTTATATGCTTTTCTTTCAGCTTCCTCAAAGGGTTACCTAAGATGTGGGTGATCTTAGGAGACACTCAGTATTTGCAATTCTTCCTAATTGCATCCCTTTCCTCACAGGGGACCATTTGCCTAAATCTTTGGAAGGATTCTTTATCTATGAAGAAGAAGGTTCTGGAGTTCCAGGTTCCAGTAGGAAAGGAAATGATGCCATCGTAGTAGAGCAATGGACCGTTATTGAGGTAAACTGCAGTTTTCTGACAGTTTAGCTTTACTTTTCTATTTAGTTTTCCATGTTAAAGATTTTCCTTTCTTAATACCTGCAGTGTCCTTCAAACACTTGTTTGTACAGTGTTCAGAATTTTATCACAAATGCATAAACAAACTTTGTTCAGATTTGTGAAAAGGTGATTTCCTTTACTACATGTTCAACTCTGTTGTAAGATAGTAAAACAATTACCTGTACCTAAATAGCAGTAGATTCCCAAGGATTTGGCCTTCTAATCCTGAATAAAGTTCCCTGGCACTCTTCTCTTTACACATGCCATGACAACTGGTTGAAACTAAAAAAAAAAAAAAAAAAATACTCAGTCAAAAACTACTATTTTATCTCCAAGCAACTGATGTGACTGACTTTTTTTTTACCTTGTTAATTGACTCTCAAAGGCAAAAATATCCAAAAGTTGTTCTCTCTCTCACCAGGCCAAATATGTACACACAGCATTGTCCTTCCTAATCAGAGATGACATTGCTGCTGATGCTGTGCACTCTGAATTCAGGTGTCACCGAATGGACTGCCCTTGAGGTGTACAGACTAAATTCTGGTATATTGTGTTGTGTGTATGAGGCCCTCACTGACAGACTCTTTTATAAACACATTTGCCTTTCTGGCCTTATAAAGGCATACAGAGAGGCAGAGCTCATTTTCAAATAAACTAGAAATCCCACTGAGGGGGAGAAAAGGATTTAGAAGAAGAGGTAAAGCTCCTAGTAAAAATCAATTCCACATGAATAAAAAGCAAGGAATCCAACTCAGCATCTAAGCCCCACTCACCTTTTACTTCCCGATCTTCACTTCCTACTCTTATCCTCACTTCCCAACCCCTGGACCAGTGTTTCTAACCAGTATGGTCTGTAAACTACTTGGATCCAAATCACTAGGGAGCTTTTCTAAATGCAGATCCCCTAGCCCTGTACCTTAAAGTGTGATGCCTGAACAAGACTGAGGGAACACAAAGGAAGGAAGGCCCAAACTCTGGAGAACCAGATGGAAACCTCTCACCACTCTGATCCCCAGTGTGTCTACCTTGGTTCAATGGTTAGAAGGCAGCAAGCAGCAGAAAATGAAGCCCTCAAAGACTGCAGCCGATGAAACTGTACTTAAGGAGCGTGAACTCCCCTTAGTTTAACACCCACCACCCTTTATTGTAATCACTTGTGTTGCTGGTCCTCTTGCCATTAAGGCTATGAGCTGTTACACTTATTCACGCAGGGCTGTGAAATCAAAACGGATTATGGCCCTCTGCTGCACACTCTGGCTGAGTTTGGATGGCTCCTGACAAGCGTGTTGCCTACACCTATACTGAGACATGACAGGTAATGCCAGAGTATCCTTACAAACTCTCATTTAATTCAAAATATAGTTCATTTGTTAGATAACTCAATTCAACTAATGCTAATTTAATGCCTACAAAAAGCATTTCACTGAACTTCTAATCTAATTTCATGGACAGTGGAGATCAGGTAATCTAATCCCCTCAAGTTATAGATGTATAAACGATAACATCTCCTTCGCAAGGGCATCTGAGTTCACAAGGCAGAGCCAGGCAGGGGTGCAGGAGACTGACTCCTAGCTGAGAGCAGCTCAAGATGCCCACATTCAAGGGGCGCCTGGGTGGCTCAGTCGGTTGAGCATTCAACTCCAGATTTCGGCTCAGGTCATGATCTCACAGTTTGTGAGTTCGAACCCCACATCAGGCTCTGTGCTGAATGTGGAGCCTTCTTGGAATTCTCTCTGTCTCTGCTTCCCTCTTCCCCTCCCCAGCGTGTGCTCTCTTTCTCTCAAAGTAAATAAATATGCTTTAAAAAAAAAATGCCTAGAGTGAAGACTGAGTTGATGTAAATCTGCAAACAGAACTCAGTCCCATCTGCAGACCTCTTGTCCTCCCCCTTCACACTGTGTGCAAACCAAAGGAGGCAGGAGCACAGGCACTGCTGCCTCAACTTCTCCCGTCCAGTGACGTGGCTGAGTCCTCCCCTGGAGCACCAACTTGTCAGCTGTTTCCACTCAAATAAAGTGCCTACATTACAACCAAAGTGCCATCACTTCACAGATAACAACCTTTCCTTTTCTCCTTTAGCTAATCATACTTTTTTTTTCTTTTTTTTTAATGTTTTATTTATTTCTAGGAGAGAGAGGGACAGCGTGAGCAGGGGAGGGTCAGAGAGAGAGGGAGTCACAGACTGAAACAGGCTCCAGGCTCCGAGCTGGCAGTCAGCACAGAGCCCGACGCGGGGCTCGAACCCACGAACCGCGAGATCATGACCTAAGAGAAAGTCGGACGTTTAAACGACTAAGCCACCCAGGCGCCCCAACTTTTTTTTTTTTTTTTAAGAGACAAAAAGAGACAAACCAATTAAGTCTTCTGTATAAAGAGCTTTGCTATCCGATGGAACCAGAGATGTTTCCTCTACCTTCTTTGGCTTCCAGAAAATGATTGAATGCCAATGTGGTCCTGCGTGGGCCAGTGACTACTTGCCGAGGACGGCGCAGTACCACAGGGCATTACCCTTTAGCAACGTCAACTGCGTTTAACCCTCTTGAGTAATTGTCAGTGTAGCTGAAGGAGGCAGCTCCTCCTTTCTCAGTCTCACCCACCCTCCTGCCTTCTCTGGTTTCCCCAGTTTAGCAGCCTAACCCTGTCCAGTATCCCAACTTCCCCACATACTGTAAAAACATTTGATTGTCATGGCTTAATAATAAAGCCACATCTTCTTCAGGTGGGGAGAGGGACAAAGGCTGATGCAGAGTAAAGATAACTCAAGCTTTGAAAGGAGGGATTAGAAATAAGCAATCTGCTTTTCTTCTCAGGGATCTATTTGTAACTGTCCTCAAGTTGTGAATGATAACATCCTGAAGCATTATTTCCCAACTATTTAAATCTGTGACACAGCTGTCAGGTCACAATACAGCATAATGCTTAGGATTTGGTCTTCAGACTAAGCAGTATGAATCACCTGGGGAGCCTATGCACATACAAATGCTGGAGGGCCACCCCAGTGGAATGGTCAAGAGCTTTGAGGGTGAGACCCATGAATCTTCACTTTCACAAGCCTCTGAAACTCATTACCATTAGAGGAGTTGTGCAGGAGGTAGTGAGAAAGGAACTCCTCTTCCCTGCCTTTCTACCCCTCACAGCCATGCCCAAGCATTGGTCTTTCCCACTCCGCGCCCTCCCTCAGAATAACTTGTGTATTTGGCCTTCTCATCTCTTTTTGATGGTTCTCATAGGTGTATACTTTAGGATATCATCTGCCCCATTACAGTTAGCTCTTCCTAAGAGTACTCTTGAGTTCCGAACCTTTCATGTTTCTTTTTCCCCACTGAAAAATATATTTATCATTCCTCCCTCCCATTCACTCAGAGATTCTTCTCTTGTGAGTCTAAATTTTTCCTGGGATGCCTAACTGGCTCCATCAGTAGAGAATGTGACTCTTAATCTCAGTGAGTTGAGTTCAAGTCCCACACTGGGCATGGAACCTACTTAAAATTAAAATGCAAAAAAAAAATGTTTTGTCTTGAAGTATGAGTGAGTGACTGGGCACTGCTTAGATAGCAAGCCTGCTGGGCTGGAGCCCCTTCAGCATCTCCTGCTTCTGGTTGGTTTGGGAATGAGGACAGAATTGAGACCGAGTATAATGCGAAGGGGGAAGGTGGTGGAACCTGGAGCCACACTTGACTGGACCCCCTTGTCCTGCACGTCAAACTGCATGAAGTCACAGGCTGTTCCTGGTGAGGAGGAGGCTCACTGGAACAAGGAGTAGCCATACATTGCTTTTGAAGCAGAGGTAGCACCACTGCCCCTCCACCGTTCTAGCTTCTCTTGTACCCTGTTCTCCTTGAGGCGCTGTGGGGTCAGAGTATGCCTTTCAGAGTAGGCACTCCTTGTGAAGGCTCAACTTCGTGTGTAATTAAAATAGCAAAAGGGCTAGTTGCTGGACTTCTCATTAAGTGACTGTCCAAAAAATTGGACACAGTATAGATGTCTATCACTATGAATGGCGTGTGTTAAGGCTAAAAAGCTGCATAGCAAATTCTAGTGAATGATTAGCTCTGGGACTATGGGTAGGAGACAGGAAAAGTGGGTGTTTCTGCTTTGTCTTTATATTTTTTCTGTTATTTGACTTTTTGCAAGGAATACATATTTATTCTGTGATTTTTCTAAACTAATTTTAAAGAGTAAAACAATCAATTACTAAAAGGATGTGAAAGCTGTATCTGCCCTAAAGGAGCCTGTAGCTGGTTAAGCTTAAATTTAGTATATAACCAGACTTGCATCGGGTTAGGGCAGGTCAGCTTATATAGATGAGCAAGTATAGGTTGCACAGGAACGTTAAAAAGAGGCGTAAAGACTGTCAAAGTTAGATGGAATCTTCACATGATAATGAGATTAAAAAGCAGCATCACTATTTAGCAGATCTCCATTCAGAATCTGCTATTTACCCTGGATTGGAGATAGTACAGGGGCACCTATGTGGCCTAGTCAGTTTAGTGTCTGACTCTTGATTTCAGCTCAGGTCATGATCTCACGGTTCATGGGGTCAAGACCCATGTCAGACTCTGTACTGACAGTGTAGAGCCTGCTTTGGATTTGCTCTCTCTCTATCTCTCTATCTCTCTCTCCCCCTCCTGGTCGTCATGGGAGTGAGGACAGGATTGAGACCAAAGGTGGTAAAGAAGAGGTCTCAAGTATGTGTGCACACTCTCTCTCTAAAGATAAATAAATAGATAGATAAATAAATGAAAATAGTAGAAAAATACTTTTTAACAGTAATCACCCTACGCAACAAGGCACACTAAAACAGTGTCTACTGTTCTGTACTCAGGAAGATTGTGCAATATTGATGTTGATTTTAATCCTTTACATCTTATAATTGCATTCTTCCAACTGCCTGCAAGGTAGACACTATAGGATGAAGGTCAGGGTTCATTGTTATTAACTGGTAACAAAGATTGTTGATAAAACCTGTTTATCCTCTGCCTTCTTATTCTTTTCCAAATGTGCTGTCTCTGCATCAGTCACATGCTTGTCTTAGCTGCTTCAGTACACACAGAGATAGTACTCACTGTCAGTCATGTCATCTTTAAATATAAAGAAAAATACCATTTAAATAAAAAAAAAAAAAAGAAAGAAAGACACCACATACAGTTCATCTTGGTCCAAGTGGAAGATGGAGCCTGAAAATTTTTAGTCTCTACAACTAGAAGAGTCCATGCTGTGAACTAAACAGATCTCATTTTAATTACAGCTTTTCACCATTAACTAGCCATGTGATCTTGGAAGTCACCTAACCTCCTTAAGTCTCGTTTTCCTCATCTGGAAAATGGTACAATAATATCAACTTTACTGAACTGTCACAATGCTTAATCAAACCCATATCTGCAGAGTACCTATGCAGGTGCTGTGCAAACTAGGCTAATAAATTAGAGCTATTCTACAGGACCTAATCCTTTAGCAGAACCAAAATTCCAAAGTTGAAACCAATTATGCAAGCATGATCATTCAGCCTATCCTAAATCAGGATATTTCAGAAAATGTAAATACTGTGATTCAGTATATACTAAATCAGCACTGATGATTACAAGTCAATAAAAGGAGCAGAAATAAATAACAGTATAAAAATATAAGCTTACACATATACTCACACCCAGAAAAAATAATATCTGTCATGACCTTTCTTTTGGGGCCCACATGTCTGAAAACATGACTTAGAACCATTGCCAGTGAAAACTTTCTTCCTTAAATATTTTTGTCTTGTACACAATACTGTCATCAGCAATTTCACCTTTTCCCCACCCTTCTATCACCTAAACCATAACTTTAATGGTCTGTAGATAAAGTATTTTCCCTTCATTTCTTTCATTACTCAAATATATCCTGTTATTGGATGACATAAAAATATTTTCCCAGTGTGTCCTCACACTGAGGTTATTGCTTCATTATCCTAGGCAGTATCACACCACCAAGGTTGAAAGCCACATTGCCATGGCAACATGATAATGTGGTAATCAGATATCACTACATTATTCCAGGGTTATTGCTGTCAGCTGTGAAAATTTGCCAGATTCCCTTCTTAATCGTTATCACTATGTAATTATACAAATGTGCCCAATCCTTTTCTTTTCATGAAATCAACATGAAAATTGACATTAAGCAATTCAGAGAAAATCTGGTAGAGGATCAGATTAGCTGAACTAGCAGCTAATATTGCTGCCCTTAAAATAATCACAGAATAAAATGGAAATGGAGCCAAAGTTCCCTCTGTTTGGCTCCCTCAAACCAGCAAGGTCATTGCCCTCTCCCTGAACAATCATC